AAGAGAAAGAGTAAGAAAGAAGAGTACAAGAGACACACCAGGTAATTCACCCGGAATAGTCCGGGAGAAAGAGAAGGACGAGACGGAAGAGAGGAGGATGTGCAGTGAGAGTAGGAGAGAGAGAGAGACGAGAACGGAAAGAGAAGAGAGAGAGAGAAGAAGGAGATGAGAAATAAAGAAAGACGCCTAGGAGAGGAGAGAGAGAGAGAGAGAGAATATGAGGAAAGAGAGAGGACGAGAAAGACAGGAGAGATTGAGATGTAATGAGAGGAAACAGAGATCGAGAGACAGACAACTCTAAATACCATTTTTTTTCCATCTCTTTATTTGAAAATTGAAAAAAACCACTACTGGATTCGACCATATTCTCATTGAGCATCCCGGTACTATCTCTCTCTTCTCTCTCTCTCTCTCTTCTCCTCTCTCTCTGTTGTACGTACTCCATTAACACATACTTACAGTGCTCCCTCTTCTTTTTTCTCTCTACAAGTACAATTATTGCTCTAGACGCCATGGAGGCACTTCCTGAGTTGCGCCTTTCGTCATCCTAGTCCTTTCCTGCTCTCCCCCCCTTCCCTCCTCGCCCTGGGCCAATTGTTACTCACCCCATTTACCTGCAAATCATACGAATCTGCTACATGGTGAAAGCCTACGTCCCTTCGGATTAAATTATCCTGTAACTCTTCTAACCCCCCCGGGGCCCCCCCCACTACACGATCAACCACTTGCCCCTCCCCTCCCATCCCTCCCTCTCTCTCCTCTCTTCTCTTCATTCTCTTGTCCTGCTCTCTTCCACCCCCTTCCCTCTCTCCGCCGCGAATAGCTTATACATATTTGCGTCACTTTGACACTTTGCTGTTCGGTCTCAGGCGCTATGCTGACTTTGTTAGGCGGTCACAGCGTTATCCACGCCCACAACTACGCAGCAAGATTTTGATCTATTGAGTTTCTCCGTGAAAGTGAAATTCTTGAACATAACACATCCAATCAGAGGAGAGAGAGTGAGAGAGAGAGAGAGAGATATGATCAGAGGGACGATAGAGATGAGCAGAGAGAGATGAGAGAAGAGTAGAGCAAGAGACGAGTGTATCGTAGTGCATTGAGGAAAAGAGGAAGAGAGAGAGCAGAGGAGGGAAGACGGGAGAGCGATGGAGAAGAGGGAGGGAGGGAGAGAGAGAGAGGGAGGGAGGGACGAGAGGGAGAGAGGGAGAGAGGGAGAGAGGGAGGAGGGAGGAGAGAGGAGGAGGGAGGAGGAGAGAGAGGAGAGAGGGAGGGAGGGAGGGGAGGGAGGGAGGGAGAGGGGAGGGATAGGGAGAGAGGGAAGGGAGAGAGAGAGAGAGAGAGAGAGGAGAGAGAGAAGGAGAGAGAAGGAGAGAGAAGAGAGAGAGAGGAGGAGAGGGAGGAGGAGGGAGGAGGGAGGAGGAGAGAGAGAGAGAAGAGAGAGAGAGAGAGAGAGAGAGAGAGAGAAGGAGAGAGAGAGAGAAGAGAGAGAGAGAGAGAGAGAGAGAGAGAGAGAGAGGAGAGAGAGATCGTCTGTTATATTAAACAGGCACACTAATAGGTTATGTTTATTTTTAACATTTTTAATAATGCAGAGTAATGGGCAGAGATGGGGAAGGATACTCGACAATACTTTGCAAAGTTATAATTAAACAAGGCATAAAACAAAAATAATAAAAGAGTAACAATAAAACGTAAAAAAAAGAAAACGAGAAAAGTAACTGGCGCAGTATTTACAAAACGCGGCGGCACAAAATCACTGGGGTCATATCGAATTGTCACAAGCATCACAGGTGGGAAACACAGGGCAACTTGGCGGCACTATACATGACCTGTGGGCTGTGTGGGCGATGTGCAGCGGCCGTGGAGACAGCGTAAAAAAAAAGAATACGCCAGCTGTAAAAAGGCTGCGTGGAGCCAGGTGGATGCGCTCCAGTCGTCGCTGCCAGCTGTCTGCCCTCCTCACCCCCTGCGAGCTGCCACGCCAACCTCGCCTGTGTGAACACGTGAAACTACCACGGCGACAGGTGGATTGGCAAACGAGGGGGGCGCTGGCTCGTCGCTCCGCGCGTCCCTGCATTCCGAGCACGGCAGGAAAGGATACTATGGCAGGGTGCGGAAAATCCTCACAGGATCCAGGGCATCGCGAAATACCACAGGGGCACGTCGGGAGAAGATCCGTGCGGGTGCGGGCGTCGGCGGCAAACGAGCGAGGGAAGTAGGTGTGGGTATAAGGTCGAAAATGGCGTGCCACTACATGTATGGCGCTCTGTGACAGTCTAGGAGGTCGAGGGAGGCCACGATGCGATACAAAAGAGAGTAGAGAATCTGAGATTCTCGAAAGAAGAACTAAGATGGCAGATAGCTACCTAAAAGGAAGTATTAGAAGGTGATGAAAGGTGGGGGGCGTAACCCCTTGCTGGGCCTAAATTGGGGTTAAACAGCCTGTTGCAAGTCAGCTGGTTCTGGTGCGTGTGTGGAGGCTAAAGGTGAGTAGTAATTTCCTTCGGTTTCTCTCCCAGCCGGAGTGGATAGCGGCCTTTGCCTTAATTAATGATGTCAATGTTGCATAGTTTCCAATGTACATAAATAGGGAAAAAAATTTTTTTGTATTCATTGATGCCACAGGAAGATGTCCGGCGGCTAAATACACACCAGACTGATGACTTCGCGGTAGAAATTTCGCGCGCGGTTGAGGTTCCAACGTGCATGATTCTACATGATTCGCGCATTTTTCCGACATATTGCACAGGCGCGCGCATCTGTTGTGCGAACGAGTGGAACGAGCGCTGATAAAGTATGATAAATCAAAAGACAGTAGCATTGAAATTGCTTTTTCCCTTAATGATTACTTTTTTTTCTCGAATTTTCGGATAAGTATCTACTCGGCACTTACAGTTCGCAAAAAAAAAAAAAAAAAAAAAAGAAGAAAAACATGCTGGTCTCCTTTGGCAGGCTATACCAAGTAGTCACTGCCTTGTTAACTATCCTTTAGATACCGTGGTGGGCGGGGACGTAAGAGTGAACAAAGCATAGCAATGTGTGATAACAACACCCTTAAGGTTATACCTCAAATTTCTTCCTTCTCTTCTCAATTTGGATTCCGTTGTGCTCGAAGCACAACTGACAAACTTGCACATTTTTGAAAATTAGATTACATCTGCCTCTGTAGGCTGTAAATCAGTATTAGCCGTTTTTTTTTTTCAACCTGAAAATAGAATCTGATACCACATACCACAACTGTCCTTACCCGTTTACGCATTAGACACGTCTCACACATTCCTTTCTCGTGTCACAAACCGATCCGCCTCTATACTCTCCATTCAGTGTTCCTCTTTCAGTGCCACACACTCTACTATTGTCCCCGCTTTACTGCCACCCATACCTCTGCTTTTCCTCACTTCCTTGACCCCTCAACATGTTGGGACATCCTCTCAGAATCCCATACCTTTTTCTATGACTACTTGTTCTTGCTTCGTCAGGCACATAAATATCTATGTGATTTAGTTGCTCCATTCCCTTAACTCCTTCCACTTATAACAACCTTTACCTTAAACTATACCCCATCAGTTCCCCCGCTCTGCCCTTTCACTACCACACTACCCTCTAGCACTATTCAACCTCTAACTTCTTATAAACTTTATCATAATCATTAACTCATTCCTAACCCTTTTCGCAACTATACTTTACCATAGTGCTTTATGACCTGGACGTCTACCACCTTTATTTTGACCAGTAACCATTTATAATACTTATCTGTGTCATCCTCAGATCTTCAGTCACTCTGAATGTTTTCTTATGGATACTTTTATCAGAGATCATTGATGGTTTTAATGTGTCATAAACCAAAGTCAGTGAAAATATAGATAGAGGACCTATTACTTCATTTTTTGAAAGTAGTCCTCCCTATGTAATAAAACGTGTTCTATAAGGGTAATCTTAGGTCCTATAGGCCAAATAAATAGATTTATCAGCATACACACCATGAGCTTTCAAACAACTACTCGTGTAGAAACTAAGGTTCAAGTAATTTGTGGAGAAGTAAGATTCTGCATACGAACTAAATAAATTTTATTTGGAATTGCACATCATTGTAGATTAATAATGTAATAACAAGAATAACAACAATCTTAGAATGGAAGAAATATTTAGAACTATACACATAAATGCTAAAACTCTCTTATCCTTTTATATCACAGGTCATGTTGCATAACAATATATCATTCCATCACAATAAATGACTACAACTTTAGCTACCATTCATGGCATTATGCTTAATCTTTCGTTCAGTTTCTCATTATTATTTTTGTTGCCTTGCCAGGAACTAAAAATATACAATGGCCTTTGCAGCAAGAACTGAAAAACTGCACAATACAATCCTGTAACACTAACACAGACCACATTTTATTCACAGCAATATAAATATATTAAACAAA